ATGTGATCCAGTGTGTACAAACTAGCAGACACCTAATAAGGAAACAGTATGTGCATATACAGTTAGCAACCAATGAATACAAGGTATGTATTTCTTTCCAGCAGAAGGATTAGTAAAATTTATGTAGCAGCAACAATCCATCAAGAAGAGATGGCTGCAGTCTAATATTAAATATATTTCATCATACAACTTTGAAGGTAGCACACATTTGGACCTCAGTTCTAGCTGCATTTATTAAGATAAAATTGAAATAATTTTAATAATTAAGATAATAAATTTCATACCTGGGTAGCTTTTGCAGGCTTTGTAAAACAGTTAAATAATTCTTTTATGTCTTTGAAGCATCACATATTTCCTTATACTGTACAGAGGAAGCATGAGCTTATTAGTATGAGCTATATCACATGCAATTTTATTTTCAGATATACTTTCCTTTGTTAAAGAAGCCTAATAAGTCAGCCAGTATCAATTTCAGAAAACCATATGGCATGGTGAAAAGCGCCTAGGTTTCAGGAGTCAGCCCTGGTTTGAAGCTCAGCCTTGCCACTTATTCTGTATAACCTTTGGCAAGTTACTTAATCTCTCTAATTCCTCAGTTGTAAAATAAGGACAATACTCTTACATCAATCCTAACTACCATTTATTTATTTTCTACTGCCTGTATAATTGCAGAGTGTCAATCTTGACTATTAGGAGAATTATTCATTTATATCTACAATAGCATTACTATTATGTAGTACTATCTAATAGACATACATATTTAATGAGCATCCACAATGTGCCAGGCACTGTGTTAAGACTTAACATATTATGCAACATCTGGTACAGAGCCGACACTCAACTGGTAGCTATTAAAAATCATATCTTTATTCTAAATATTTCATGTTATATATACAAAAATAATAATTTCAAGTAAATAATTAATAACCTATGAATCCCAAATGACTGGCAAGCTTGTATATCATGTATCTTCTGATTTAGGACACAGGGAAATAAATGGTGCTTCCATCATATTAAATAACAGCTAAGTTCATAATTAGAAGGTCTCTCAATGACACTATTTAGGCCAGGTGCTGTGGCTCATTCATGCCTGTAATCCCAGCACTTTGGGACGCTGAGACATAAGGATCTGTTCAGCCCGGGAGTTTGAGACCAGCCTGGGCAACACAGCAAGAACCTGTTACAATTTCTTTTTTTTTTGAGACAGAGTTTAGCTCTTGTTGCCCAGGCTAGGGTGCAAGGGCGCGATCTCGGTTCACTGCAACCTCAGCCTCCCAGGTTCAAGTGATTCTCCTGCCTCAGTCTCCCGAGTAGCTGGGATTACAGGCACGTACCACCACGCTTGGCTAATTTTGTATTTTTAGTAGAGACAGGGTTTCTCCATGTTGGTCAGCGTGGTCTCAAACTTCTGACCTCAGGTGATCTGACCGCCTTGGCCTCCCAAAGTGCTGGGATAACAGGCGTGAGCCACCACACCCATCCAGCTTTTTTATTAACATAATTTATGTCTCATGTTTTTTGAGCCCAAATTATGCAATTGCACTTCTGTAAATAAAAGATAGAATAATTTAAAAATAAACACCTCCTGAGTAGCTGGGATTACAAGTGTGTGCCACCATGCCCAGCTAATTTTTGTATTTTTAGAGAGACAGGATTTTACCATGTTGGTCAGGCTGGTCTTGAACTCCTGACCACCCATGATCCACTCGCCTCGGCCTCCCAAAGTGCTGGGATTACAGGCATGAGCCACCGTGTCTAGCCTAAAATGAGATTTCTATCTGCCAGTTACAAATACCAGACAGAGAAGCTATGTGAATTTGGAAATTCATCTAATTTCTTACAAAGCATAATGCTTTTTTCCTGGAGCACAAAGCGCAACAATTCAGAGGAGCATCAACAGAAATCAGTGAAATAATTAAATTCCTTCTTCCCTTCCTTCCTTCCTTTTCTATCCTTCTCTCCCTCTCTCTCTCTCTCTCTTTTTTTGAGGCAGACTTTTGCTCTAGTTGCCCAGGTTGGAGTGCAGTGGCACAATCTCAGCTCACTGCAACCTCTGCCTGCCGGGTTCAGGCGATTCTCCTGCCTCAGCCACCTGAGTAGCTGGGATTACAGGGCACGTGTCACCACACTCGGCTGATTTTTGTTGTGTGTGTTTTTATTAGAGAGGGGGTTTCACCATGTTGGCTAAGCTGGTCTCGATCTCCGGACCTCAAGTGATCCACCCACCTTGGCATCCCAAAGTGCTGGGATTACGGGCGTGAACCATCGCACCCAGCCTTTTTATTATTTTTTTAATTGAGGCAGGGTCTCACTCTCAGGCTGGAGTGCAGTAGTGACATTTCGGCTCACTGCAACGTCCACCTCCCAGGCTCAAGCAATCCTTCCACCTCAGCCTCCCAAGTAGCTGGGACAACAGATGCCCATACCCATTCCTGGCTAATTTTTGGATATATATATTTTTTGCAATGATGGGGTCTTGCCATATTGTCCAGGCTGGTCTCAATCTCCTGAGCTGAGGTGATCCACCCACCTCAGCCTCCAAAAGTGCTGGAATTACAGGCGTGAGCCACTGTGCCTGGCGGAGTATGTTTAATGCAAGTTTATTAGCAGAAGGGAGCATAGTGTAGCCAGTTTTAAGCTGAATTCCTACTCTACTATTTCTCGGCTATGTGACTTTAGGCAAGTCACTTAACCTTTCAGAGCCTCAATTTCCTTAATTTTAAAACCCTACTTTGCAGGGTTGTTGTGAGAATTAGGGATAATGGTATGGTAAATCTCCCACCACTCTGGCTAACAGTGGAGTCTCAATAAATTTCAAGTCCAGGATCTGCAGGGAGCCAGATGACTTGGAGTTCTTTGTGAGAAATGCTTTAATAAATAAGTAACAATGGTTTATAGATATCACACCAATTGTTAGAAAATAGTGGACAGATTAAAGTTCCTAAAGGTTCTAGGAACGTATATCCTTCAAATTATTTAATTATTCTCCCAACATTCTGGTTTATACTACAAAATTGCAGAAAAATCTTAAAAAAGGAAACACAATGCTAGAACAATACAAAGTAAGTCTCAGCCCAATTCCAGGCCAAATCAATATTAATGAGCTTCCTCATACAATCCACTTAATGATGAGAAGTTTACAAGAAGTGAAGAAAAATAACGTGGTTAGAGGCAATATTCATTGATTTAAATCTGAAGTTAAAACTTATTTCTTTCTCGATTGTTACATAAATCTCTGGAAAAATATAGTATAGTCCCATCTCCTACATTTTATTAAAAAATTGATAATCCTCATGCAGTGTAAAATCCAGCCGTAAACAAAATCTGGGAAGTGCCAGCACTTAGAACTTTTCATTTCAAAGACCTTCTGAAAGCACTCGCCAATATGGAACAATCTAAGCTTCCTTGGAACTGTCTCCGTAGCCACTCTGCAGTTTTAGAGATCAAGGAGGTCCAGCCACAATGGTTAAGCAAATAGCATACAAAAGATGAAGGAAAAACTTAAAAGGAAGCTACCAGCAACATCAACAAAAGGTCTCATAACACAACATGGGGGAGGGCATATACTCAAATCATACATGGAGAAGGTGTGGTGGGAATCACCAAGCAATTTAGAATGTTTAGTAAACAGAGTTCTTAGGCTGAAAAACCAATTTGAAGAGGGTTAGGTATGTAATTAAAAGAAAGGGAGAAGCAAAGAGAGGTGGGCTATTCCTCTCCCTAAGCTGCGAACCCCGCCTGTGGACAGTCTCATTTCTTTCCCCCCTCCACGAATTCCCCGTCTTCTGCACTGAGTGGTCAGTTTCTGGCAGGCAGACACCTAATTACCTCTTCTCTAATCCAGCCCCTCTTGGCAGCGTCTAGGACACATTAACTCAACACAGGCAGACAGCATTCCTGGGCGTCTCACTATTCCTTGAGACGCCTTCGTGACGCTTTTTGTACTACAGTGGAATCGTCTACTTGTCTGACTCCCCGAAGACTGCGCCCGGCCCCGAAAGACGCTCAGTAAACAAGGGTTATGAATCAATCGTCTGTGGACTCGCATATCTGCGCCTCCCTTCCTAACCACCCCCACTTACGCTCCTTAAGATGAGGACCCCGCATTCATCATCCGCATCCTCCGCTATCCTCCTCCCTCTGAATGCTCGACTCCCCTACTGCCCCGCAAGCTCCAGAGGAAAGGCATTGTGTCTTTCTCATCTTTGTGTCCCCCAGCCTATCACAGGGTAGTGCAGGACAAACTTCCGGTAATTACAGCAGGAACGGGGTGCAGGCAGGATTAGGGAGAAAAACAGAAGCTACACAGATAGGAAACAGCAGTTGAAGGGCGGATAGAACAGCCAGGTTGCCAGAGCCGACAAAGGTGTGGGGAGCCGAGAGATGGGCGTCCAGGGAAGGGTCGCAGCCTGCTCCGGACGGGCCCTACCTTAGGGTAGGTGTGCAATGGGTAGGTCAACTGACAGGCACGGTGGCAAGACGCCGTATCACCCAAGACGGAGTCAAATGCTTCAGCCGAAGCGGTCCCCGAACCTCCGGCTAGGGCCATGGTCAGCAGCAGCAACGGCGGGAGCCCCAGTTGGGTCCTGACCCAGAGGCTCCCCTTCTGCGCCGCCATGTTGTTCCCCTCTGTCACAGCAGCTCAGCTTGTTGCTGTTTTCTTTGAAGGGCTTCCTCCTTCTGGGGCCAGCCCCCTTCCCCACCCTACCGACCGTTGCTTCCGCCTCCGCCGTCTCTTCAGCTCCGCCCTGACCCGCGTGAAACAGCCGCCTCCTGCCCCACCTCCCGGACTACGAACTTCTCCTAGGCAGGCGTGAGGAGGGAAACTCAACCGTCGCGAGCCTTAGCACGAAGCGGGGCCGCCTGACTTCTTCCCTTCGCTGGGCAGGCTGGGGCATGTAGTTCTCCCCAGGCGGGAGGAGCACGGTATTGTCGGGAAAGTTGGTCTGGGAAAACTACAGCCGCCTTCGGCTCGCCTTCCGCTCGCGTTTTTTCGCAGTGCATTCTGGGGAATGTGGTTCACTGTGGCCCTGAGGCGAGAGGGCCGGCCGGAGCCTCTAGAGAACTACAGCCCTTGGAGGAAGCGTCTGTTTAGTTTCAACACAGACGGCTGGGCTTGGGAGCCTACAAGGTTGCAGTCTGGAGGGTGCCAACAGCAGCTGCCAGGGCAGCTTTTCCTGGTGGGTCTCACTTCAGACCTTTATTGAGTGCCTCTACCCGGGCTCCTCAGTGCTGAGAACAAGGTGGATGGGGTTTCTCCTTGTTCGGGGATCCAGAGATCACAGCCGTGCATAGAGTCCTGTGACCATCGAGCAGTTGTTCCAGGGGATGACTGCGTATTGTGAGACCCCCTGCTGAGCTCTTGCGGTGGTTGTCGGTTGCTAATTACCAGGACAACCCTTGGGATTGTGGCTGTGGTGAGGTAGTTGTAAAGAGAGCGTCTTTGAGCTCTGTGTAATCCTAACCCTTCCACAGCCCGATCTTAATTGGAAGAGGGCTTAAGGTGCACGCTCTAGGAGGGGGATATTGGAATCACCTCCTAGAGCGTGCTCTTCTGGAAGCTAGGAACCTCCTAACTCAGGACGTAGACCAATGATTGTTTACGGTTTCAATTCTTAGGAAGATCTTTCTTTTAAAGAGGAAATCTTACTTCCTGTCAATTCTACCCGAGTCCCTATAATTCAGAAATTCTTCCAGAGAACTCAATTGTGTCACTTTGGGGAATAAATATCACAGCAGCCTTTGGTGAAGTTTTAGAATGTGTCCTCTCTCTTGACCAGAATCGCTGCAAGCACGTCAAGGTAGTCGGAGTCCCCTAACAATGGATAAATTCATCATTCGAACGCCTAGAATCCAGAATAGCCCTCAGAAGAAAGACTCTGGAGGAAAGGTTTACAAGCAGGCCACGATTGAATCTCTGAAGGTGAGAGGGGATCTGGGACTAGAGGAAATGTGCAAAGGACTGATAGCAAGGTGGTGCCAGAGTTTCTGGTGTGGAAAGACCTATGAATTATTTCTTGTTATGCCTCCTTCCCCAAAGTGTACCTGACCACTCCTTCTTTGTTCCCCCCATAGCTGTACAGACTTAGATTTATCAATTTCCGCACCTCCGCTACACCCTTGTAATTACTCTGGTGCAGAGTATGGTTTGCAGCATGTGTGCTAGCCCTTCGTTGTTACTCTTCTGCAAAATGTAGTCTGTTAGGAATGTTAAAGTACCGCCGGGCGCGGTGGCTCACGCCTATAATCCCAGCACTTTGGGAGGCCGAGGCGGGTGGATCACGAGGTCAAGAGATCGAGACCATCCTGGTCAACGTGGTGAAACCCCGTCTCTACTAAAACTACAAAAAATTAGCTGGGCATGGCGGCGCGTGCCTGTAATCCCAGCTTCTCAGGAGGCTGAGGCAGGAGAATTGCTTGAACCCAGGAGGCGGAGGTTGCGGTGAGCCGAGATCGCGCCATTGCACCCCAGTCTGGGTAACAAGAGCGAAACTCCGTCTCAAAAAAAAAAAAAAAAAAAAAAAAAAGGAATGTTAAAGTACCAAATGTGATTCTATATACCTACCCTGTACAGACTCATTAAGGGGTGGGTTTTGATGCAGTTCTGTCACGTCTTACTGCCCAGAACAGTATCAAATGGCTTTACAGCTACAATGGAGACTGGGAAAGAGGCTGGTTTTTGTTGTTTTTGAGACAAGGTCTCACTGTGTCACTCAGACTGGAGTGCAGTGGCATGATCTCGGCTCACTGCAACTTCTGTCTCCCAGGTTCAAGCAATCCTCCTGCCTCAGCCTCCCAAGTAGCTGAGATTACAGGCGCCCCGCTAATTTTTGTTTTTAGTAGAGATGGGATTTCACCATGTTGGCCTGGCTGGTCTCGAACTCCTGACCTCAAATGATCCACCTGCCTCAGCATCCCAGAGTGCTGAGATTACAGGCACGAGCCACTGTGCCCAGTGGGAAAGAGGATGTTAATGGACCCTTTGCTACCTTGAACTCAGTCTGATGCCTGTTAGCAAGCAAGATGCAAAGAGTAGATACAATGAATCAATCAACGTAGTTACTCAATAAATGCTAAAGTAATTATTATTTTACTAAAACAAAACAACTTGTACTTAGTCCCTTTATCATCTTGAACCTTGCCTCTTACATTTCTGACTTTTTATTTTCCTTTATCAGTTCCTCTTCCTCCACTAGGTTCCTAGTGTTCAGGCTCCTCAGAGTTCTGTCACATTTTATGTATTTGGCCAGGATCACCATATCCATCTCAATGCTTTCTATGCTAAAACTGCCAAACATGCACCTCCAGCCTAGGTTTCAGAAGGTGGGAGGGGCATCTGGAGCTAGAGAAATTGTGCAAAGGACTGTGAGAGCAAAGCAGCATTCCGAGTACATGACATCTACTCAGTTAGACCCCTTTCCTGGATGTCTCCCACAGACTTACCAGACCCATATTGGAAAGCAGTGAAGGAGAGTATAAACAGGCCCTACTGGTAACTGGGTGATCTCTAGTAGCAAGTCAGTCCCTTCTCTAAGACCTCAGTTTACTCATCTATAAAATGTGGAGATTGAACTATACCTATGTTTCTTCAAGGGGCTGCTGTTGTTATATGGGACAAGATAATTCTTCATTATTTGGAGCTGCTGGTGAGTTACAGGATAGTTAGCATCCCTGGCTCTCAGGCACTTAAGGCCAATGGCACCTCCCATTCTGATTACCAAAAATGCCCTCACATATTTCCAGGCAGCACTTGGTTGAGCCCTACAGAACTCTAGATCTTGAAAGTCTGTCCTAGTCTTGCAGTTCTGTGACTGCTTAGAACACATTCAAGGTTTTCAACTGTCTCTACCTTGTCAGAATATTCGTGGATAATCGTATATAGCAATGATTCTCAATGAGGGATCGTATCAGACTCTCTCAAGGAAAAATGTGGGAAAGAATAGTTGAAGTACACATATACTCTCTTACAAATACCTATATTCTTTTTTCTTTTT